GGTGGGGCTCAAAGAATACAGGATCTCTTGATCAGGCTCTTCTAAGATTACCCCCCTACCTCCGGGATTTTTCTCTGATATTTCTCAACAAGTACAAAATCAAACAATGGCCACAAAATCATTCACAGAAGATTCCATCTTATTGTTAGACAAGAAGTTGATAAAATGTACCCATTGTCCTCCCCCCAGCCTCCATTTTGTCCCCCCGACCCCCGCCATCTCCCCCACAAGAAGCCCATCCATCCATCCTTCCGTAGAGAGAACACGAAGTGGCCTTCTCTTCAGCCCATGTTGTGTTCCACACTGTACATCTGCAAACCGCCCAGACCCCAGACAACTGTGGTGCAGAAATGTACATCTTAAACTCAGTAAACTAATCATAAGGCAACAGAAATGGGGGAGAAAGTACACATTAATGCATTACACCCCACCCAAAGGTTCTGTAAAAGAAGAATGGTTTTCTTCCAACCTGCCTGCTCAGAACAATCGAGAAATTTACAGAATTAAAACATTTCAATACTAATAAGGAATATATGGCTTTCCAAATATTTCAGATGGCATACATTAAAAAACTGACCCTATTTAACTAATCATAAGTATTTATGCCTCCAATTAGTTTTTAGATCCCATTACCCTGCGTTTATCCTTGAAGCCGGACTGATTCATCACATATAGAGCTTAGGCTTAGACCTCTTGTGTCTCAATCTATTATTAATCATTACTTAGAAATGTCATCTCATAAAAGTCTGCAATTGTTCACATTGGAAATGATCTACCATTTGATTGTTAGTTCAACTTCCTGATGGGCAAAAATCATACCTTTTGTAAACAATCTTCAGATCCCGCCATTCAAGAAAGCTGCACATTTTAGGTTTCCGTGCCAAAACCGTTTGAACAAGTTCCCTTGTGATCTTTTTCTTCTCTTTGTCTGAGAGTGGAACATACCATTTCTGCAGACGAAGCTTTCCCTGACGACTGAAAAGCAGCATAAACTGCATCTGGTGAGATAAATAAAGCTAAGATTACATGCAACACAACACTTTCAGTCAACAGAGTTAAAGATGACAATGACATGTTTGCTTGGTTTTTTTCTAGAAAAGCTGGGAGGCGAGGGCTGTTTAAGTGAGTGATTAGTAGCCATCAACATTTCCCTGCCAATTAAAATAGGAGACTCTGTTACGAACCTCTTCCTACTACATACCAGCCTTCCTACCCTGTGCCACCCTGGTTCCAATCTAGTCTGGAAAGCAGTGCCTCGGAAAAGAAAAAAAACTGTTCAGATAGAGTGAATTTTCTGAAGAAAAAGAAAGGGGACTCTTGTAATTTGCATTACTATTTTCTACTTGAGCTGAATGCCTGTCCACACTTCCTGTGCTTCAAAGAACTGCAGAGGACACATGATGCGAGTACACTGGAAGCAGAGAGAAGAGCTACCCTTTTCAACCAGAGGCCACTCTAGTTCTAGGCAGAATTCCTTGTAGACAAGGCTGCTTGGCTTAGTGTGTTCTCTTCGGGTTATGCTAGCCTGTTTTAAGCAAAATTGAAAATTTGAGAATGTTAATTTTAAAAATTCTTAATACACGGATTTCTAAAGATCTGTTCTCACCTCCAGTTTTTAAAAATCCAACATAAATATACAGCCAATAAAGAACGAAGTTAATGTCCTATTATGAAAGGAACATAAACCTTCCCAAAGGCAAACGTTGCAAGAGGCACACACAATCAGAAACGAAATTCTTCACTTAAAAACCATCCAAAATAGAAGCCACAAAACGTGCGTGTGCTGAGTTCTGGTGTATTTGAGACTTTTTGTGTATGGTTATTTGGAATCTGCAAATCAACAGATGTCGAGTCATCTAGAAGTTTAATTTGTAAAGAACCCTCCTTGTAATTTAACTTGTCATCTACCTCAATGGGGAAGAGAGACAACGATCGTTTCAGCCAAGGCAATTTAAAGGTAGACTTCAGAGAGCCCCCTCCTCCCCCTTTTAACTCTTACAACTTCCTTTAAACAATGCTATGGGGGAGCATATTTCACAGCTGGTTTGTTTTTAACATTCACCACCCCATCCTGAATATGAATCCGGGAAAGCAGAATTCACACACAACCAATTTGGAACAAAATGAGCCCTAAATAGCCAACGTCGCCAAGAAATTTCTTGCAATGATCAGAGATGCATCAACAAGAAAGGTACCTGGAAATCCATGACGCGGCAATTTAACTTTATTAAAGTTAAAATCGGCTTAAAGGCACAAATTTGATCTCATCCAAAATCCTTCAGGGGCACAAAATATCCCAGTATCATTCAGATACCCAAATGACCCCCCACTGCACACCCCCCTAAAAAAAAAAACAAACCTCAAATCCTGCCTAGAGCGACATTCTGAGAGACGGGCCAGCAACGCATCTACTAGACCACAAGGAATGCAACCATTACCATAATTTGGAAAAGGATGGACTCTATTCCTCGAGCTGGGCATCCAGGAAAGGTGGGGGGTTTGCTAGGGAACCCTGGATGTGCTCAAGGATGCGCTCTGCGGCGGGCTGGTATCCGCCCTGCTACTTTACAGGACAAATAAATAACTGACGCTCCCTAAAATAAACGATCCGTTAATCTGAGACGAAACCCGGTCGCCGGGCATAAGTATCCCTTCCCTCCCGTTATAAATCTGGGCTTGGATTTTGCCGCAAATCACAGAGCACCAAAATTCCTGGAGGTTGGTATTAAAAACAATGGGCTCCGCCGCGGAGCGGGCTTGGGGCCAGCGTTCCTTGGGTCCGGACGTCGCCGACGGGGCCACCCCTCTAAATGCTGACCGCACCGGGGCCCAGGCACGGGGCAGACAATGGCAATGGCCGCCGCACAGGGGGCGCCAGGGGTCCTGGGCCGCCACCGCCCCGAGCCGCGGCCCCTCCCCAAAACGCCCCGCAAAACTTGAGGCGACCTCC